ATGATATACTTGAAAATATAAGAAATGTAAGAAAACAAACTCTTTCAAATAATTGGTACCTCCCCGCCCCCATAATATCAACAAGCCCAATTAAATATGTATGTAATAACCAGGACTGAATAAATGTAAAAGAAAAGTTTTAACCCAGGTATGGGCAAATCCAGGCCCAGAGGTCAGATGTGGCCCCTTGAGCTCTTTTCTCAGGCCCTCCTCTCTCTCACCATCCTATCCTTCCTTCCTTCCTTCTCGCTTTTCTCCCTCCTTCCCTTCCTTCCCTTCCACCCTTTCATCCTTCCATCACTCTTTCCTTCCTCCTTCCCTTTCCCTTTCTCCTTCCTTCCTTCTTTCCCTAATGTCTTTCCTTCCTTCTCTCTTTCTTCCCTCCCTCCACTCCCTTCCACCTTTCTTTCTATCCTTCTCTTCCTCCCTTCTCTTTTCCCTTCTTCCTTTCCTCTTTGGGGATGTTTAGCTGGGAGAAAAGAAGGTAGAGAGGGAACATGAGAACGTTGTTTCAAGATTAAAAGGGTGCCCCACTGAGAAGGGGGGGGGACTGAATTTCTGCTTCTCTAGAGACCAGGGCACAAGGGAGCAATGGTTTCAAATAGCAGGGAAAGAGATTAAACTGAAAAGATTAGAAAGAACTTCCTGAGAGTAAGAGCTGTTTGAGAGTGGCATGGGCTTCCTTGGAGTGAGGTGGAGTCTCCTACTCTGCAGACTTTTCTGCAGAGGCTGTCTATCAGGAGTGCTTTGGTTGTATCCTTCTTGCATGGCAGGGGGTTGAACTGGATGGGGGTCTCTTCCAGCTCTAGGATTATTTATCAGGAGTAGGCAATTCAGGGTCTAATGGATACACCCTTTCTCTCTCGTCCACCATCCCATCCTGATCAAGCCCAACGCTTTTGGGAATGTTTTCTGTCTCTCCTTCACTTTCTGCCTCCAAAAGAGAAGAGGAAGGGGAGGAAAGCCCACTCACCGTGCTCCAGCCCGCAATGCAGCTCCCAAGTTAGAAAGTTTGCCTATGCCTCGTTTAACCCAATCAGATAAGGAGACCAGAAAAAAGGACAAAACAAATGGGAGCAAATTGTAAGGCAGACTAATAAGAGGGGAAAATCATTTAAAATGAAGTTAAGAACATTTATCTCCAGACCTTTTAGAAACTTAAGGTATTAAATTACAAAAAGTTGACCAGAAAAAATATATTAAGGACAATTACCACCACCACTACCCCAGTGGGAAAAGACCATGAATATCATACCCACCCATGTTACAGATTTCTTTCCTAACAATGGCTCCAGTCACCATTTCCTGCTTTGGCACCATGATGCCTCAGGTAGATTTTCAAAACCTTTCTCCTACGTATGACATTGAAATCAATTTTAGCAAATGATCCACTTCCTGTGCCACATCCACCTACTTTACTTTCTTCTCTCTGTCTCCTGGCACTATAGTCAAATCCATGCAAAAATCTATGAATTTGGTGGACTGACTATACTAGACCTAAAAAAAGAGCTGCCTTTAAAAAGTTTGTTAAACTAGACAAAATGTTGGTCAAAAGGATAAGCATAGTTCAGAATAATCATCCATCTTCCCTACCATCCTTCATTACTAAAATAGATTATTTGAGGTTATATTTCCAGAACCTTCAAGGAATTAGCCACCTCTGCTGCTGTACCTTCAAAGCAGAAACCCAAATCTGCCTCTATTGAAACAATACACTTTAGAGCTATAGCCCAAAAGGCTAAAAATTAAAAGATACGAGAAATGTGAATAAGAACTGCTTTCCACTATATGTATTAGTTCAAGCAAAACCACTAAGCATCTCAGCTTCCAACAAAATATAGCATATTTCAAGTATAAAATTGCTCTCCCTACTAGAGGATTGGAAAATAGCAACATTGTTTCCCAATTCTATAAAGATATACTACAATTGCTTTTAAAACTACAGGCCAGTTAGCATAACATCTGGCTTCTGTGAGCTCCTTAGAGAGAATATGGAATACAAGTGTAATGAACAAAATTGTAGGAAATCACCTACATTACTTATTAAAGGCTTTTCCTCATACTTAGATACCCAGCCTTTCACACTAAAGTCTTATATATGGCAGTTTGCTAAATACTCATTACCCTCAAGCATTTTCTTTTGACTTGAACAAAGTGAGAGGTTTGAGTTCAGTGCATAGATTGTCAGGTGATAGTCAGAGTTCCTTTTCCCCCAGAAATAGTCAGTAATCTCAGCAGACAAATTAAAGTCTGATGGTGAACTATTCTTCGACTCTCAGAGGCAGTCTCTGCATGTTATGAGTTCAAGAAGGGTTAGAGGTAAGGGTTGATATGCTGCCCAGATTTTTCACGGTGAGCAGATGAACAGAAGAGTCTCTAGCAATATTGATCTGGTGCTAAATTACAGGTAAAGCTCTTAGCATTTTCCTGTTCCCCCTTCTCTCAAATATCCATCATTTCATTCCCTTCCCTGTCTCTTTACCTCCTGGCATGTTACTGCCAGTTTTGCTTGTCTTCATGTCTGCTCATTTCTTTTGCCCTTCCTACCCTCTTCCTTCTATTATGCTGCTTTTGCTTTTCTGGTTCCAGCAATTCCATTTGCAAGTTCTGATATGTATAATCTGGGAACAAACCAACATAAAATATCCCCTGTTTCTGAGTGTACGGACATATAGAGATTCAAATATCCACATTTTCCACCCACAACCAGGATACTCCCACAACTGAAAATTTTTAGCACTTTGCAGGTATTCATCCTGTGTTTTCAGGGAATGTTGTATGGTCACCCTTCATTTTGAACCTGGAGCTCCTGGGATAAAGGTACTATGTGGATGGCCCCTATTATCAGGTTTCTCCTAACTCACAGTCATACTACACATGGGATAAAGGTACTATGTGGATGGGCCCCTATTCAGGTTTCTCCTAACTCACAGCCATACTTCACATGGGATAAAGGTATTATGTGGATGGGCCCCTATTATCAGGTTTCTCCTAACTTACAGCCATACTACTATACATTCACCATCACATGATGACTAAAGTATCATTAGAAATTACATCATTTTATATTTTTTAAAAATGCAATGGGAAAAGGAACTTTTCCCTGAGACCACAGCACATAAATCAATGAAATTGAAGCCTTTCTGTCTGAGCTAAACTCCCAGTAAAATGTACTTTTAAAATAATAATAATAATAATAATAATAATAATAATAATAATAATAATATAAAACTTTATTTGTATACTGCTCTATCTCCCCACGGGGACTCAGGGGAGATAGAGCAGTATACAAACAGGCAAAGCATTGTACTTGCATACAGACATACCAAATATTCATTTAAAAATGATTACAAACATAACATCTGTGAGAGATAGTGTACTATAATGGTTTGAGTGTTGGACTCTGACTCTGGAAACCAGCCATGAACACTCACTGGCTGACCTTGGGCAAGTGCCGCAGAGAAAGGCAGAGATAAACCCTTCCCAAAAAGACTAACCCCTTTCCACCACAACCACTTCCTCCCCTGTCCGCGCATGTGCACACACACACATACACAATAGGTTCACTGTAGGGTCATAATAAGTCAAAAATTACTTGAAGTCTCCTTTTCAGAAGATTCAGATAAAATGGAGCTGCTGTAGTCTCTCTTGGCTTCTTTTTCTTCATTAATAACTTGACCACCCTATGATGTTGTTTGCCCACATGCGTCTGAGTTTCCATCTGTGAAATTTTGGAGAACGTATCCACTTTTCTGAGAAACCTTGGAGACTAGAAATGCCCCCTCATAAGCCCTTCCTAGTTAGAGGCGTGATACATGTAAATATATCTTTTCAGTAATACTTGAAAAGATTTTTTTATTTCTTTCTGCTCCTCAAAATCTTCTGTTCCTCTATGTGAACCTGCATCGCGACAGTTTGTAACAGTCTCCTCTGAAGCTGCAGTGGAGTCCATCATTATGTCTTTTTGTTGCCATTAAGCTGCTGAAATTGTAATGCCCATTATGAGAAATGCGTATGAGGGTGGGTAGGGGTGACAAAGTCAGGGTCATCTCCCGAGATGGAGTCACAGTTCAATATTTTTAGATTGTATTATCTCCTTTAATTTGTCAGACAATGAAGCTTCAGAGCATTCAGAGGCCAGCCCCTACAGCAATTGTAAGTACAGATAGTGCAGCAGGCACATTAATGCTGACACTCAAATGATGAGTTAACAGTGCAAATGGCTCTCTGAAGACTAGCCTAAGCATGGCCAGACAGTCAGACCCTCATCATCTGTAAATGATCCAGTCATCTGCTGTTTTCCTATCCCTGGACAATGAGGAAGCAAAGTCATCATCTGTATATTGCTAGGGATTTTGCTTAAAATTCCTTTTTGTTTTATTCAATGGGAAAAACATAAAGAGATTGACATTATTTTTAGTACCCAAATAGCTGTATCAGATCTTGAATAACCAGGTCTTGAAATATAACAAATCAAACTGTGAACTTTCAAAAGCTCAGCAAAGTAGGCAATGAGATCTAGGGAAATTCTTGGGCCCTATTTTAAAAAAAGATCTATTTTAACTGATCCAAGGGAAGGTCTTGAACTGCCTTCCTTGAGAACAAGCAGCAAGTTGGCTACTAATGAACAAACTGAAACTTGAGCATTTTGTGGGTGGGTAGAATTTCTGAAAGCAGTTTAGCTGCTCTGGGATATATTCCACTTTAAGAATCAGGGTTACACAGTGAGGTACTCTTGGATCCAAACTTCTCTGTATTAGCTGCACCAACTACTGTTTAGTTTTTGAACTCAATGTCACATGATAGCTATTACCTTAATGTGGGGGGTCTAAGCTATTTGAAAGACATGCTGGTCCCATGTTAATCTGCTCATCCTTGGAATCAGCTGATGTGGCCATTGACATTATTATTTGCAGAAAACTCCTTTACCCAAATTTTTAAATAACCCAGTTCTTGTTTTAATCCATTTCTTTTCTCTTTTTAAACTTTTTAATGCTTAGGTAGCTAGGTGCTATAACGACTGTTGGAGCGAAGAGCAGGATCGAAGTTTTATTGTAAGTAAAAACATCATTTGTACAGAGTATTATGCATACGTTGTTTAACACAGCATCCAGTTCATTCACTTTGCTTTCCCCATCCACATTATTACTGTTGGGATAAAATAATAATTTAAAAATGGAAAATTGTCTAAATATGCTTTTGAGTTATGAGAAACTCTGATGAGAAGAGTCTTGGATTGACATGAATCTCTGCAGTTCAGGACTTAGTCTGCTATAATGTCCAATTGGACTTGATTAAACAGATAATTGTATCTGTTTTTTTATACTCCATTTTTCCATCTCTCCATGTCCATGCTACTTCCACCTTTCCTGCTAAAACCGTTGCTCTGAATAAATCTTGTGTTTTCTTACATAATTTTATTATTCCCTACTATGCCCATTAACATAAAATCAATATTTACCTGAATTGGTATTTTAAACATTTTCTCCATTTTCTTTACAATCTTTTCCCAGAAAACTATTGTCTTTGGGCACTCTTACCTCATGTGGGCATACCAATCTTTATTTGCTCAACAATGCCAACGTGTTGAGTTTATTCCCATTTCCATATTTGATAATTGGGCTGGTGTCCTGGACCATTTCCAAATAAACTTTCTTTCTAACTCTTTATACTTCTCCATTTTAATTTTCCTAACTCCCTTCATTATTTCCTCTATTGTTTGTTTTGTGAGATGGCCTTCTTTCTGCCATTTAGTTTGTAGTGTAAAAGGTAAAGGTAAAGGATTCTTCTGACATTAAGTCCAGTCATGTCCAACTCTGAGGGGTAGTACTCATCTCAATTTCTAAGTTGAAGAGCCAGCATTGTCCATAGACACCTCCAAAGTCACATGACCAGCATGACTGCATGGAGCTCTGTTACGTTCCCGCAAAAGCGTACATATTGATCTACTCACATTGCATGTTTTCAAACTGCTAGGTTGAAGGAACCTAGGCCTAATAGCAAGGGCTCACCCCCGCTCCCCAGATTCAAACCACCAACCTTTCGGTCAGCAATTTTAGCAACTCAGCAGTTTAATTCACTGCACCACCTTTGTAGTATATTTACTTACAATATATTCATAATCTTTCATCATCAATTTAAATATTGCTCTTGCTAATCCTTTCTCTGATTTCTGTCCTTTTATTAGTGTACTTTCCAGATTACTTTCTTTGCCTATACATTCATCATATTTCCCCTGTTTACATTTATTATATAGGACTAATACTTTTATCCAGTTTGTATTTCCCACTTTTTCTATTATCCTACTGATGGGGATCAGTTGACCTTTTATATCATACAGGTTTTATAACTATAATAATAGCCTTTGTCCTTCATTTCCTTCCACCAATTGGAATTGAATTCCTTCTTGTACAGGCATTCAAAGGGCATCCACTTTAATATTTCATCCATTTTAGGTGCCATTTCTTCCATATTGTTAATGCTAATTTTCTGGGACCTTTTTTTTTCATGCTTTTAAAATGTAAATTTGATAGGGAGAAGTTAAAATTGGATTTTTTGCTGATGATGTTATAGTGATACTAGCTAATTCTTTAATAGGAATAAAAGAACTAAAATTATACTAAACTTTATTTATTTATTTATTTATTTACTGCACTTATATACCGCAATTCTCAGCCCAGGGGCGACTCATTGCGGTGTATTTAAAAAAATACAGGGCTGGGGGTAAATATAAAGAATTTAGAGATCGTGTATTTTGGAGTAAACAGACTAGAAGAAAAAAGACAGGATTGGTGGTAAATTTAAATAATTGAGATATTGTGTATTTTGGAATTAACACACTAGAAAAAAAAAGATTCATCCTATCTTCTCCAGGGTTGGAATTCCTAAATCTAGAAGTAGCTCCCTTGTTCTATCAAATGATCTTGAAAAGATGGTGGGAGAAGAGAAGGGCCTCTACAAAAGACCCTGGAGCTCCAGTAGGATCACAAAATTTACATGCACCACACAAAAGGAATCTCAAGGCAGTCATACATAAGATCTATGGGAAGCTATGTGTAATAATCCCATATAATCTCTGACCACAATTTGGTGGGACTGGTGGGGATTGTCATTCCTGTCCCTCTGCTTCTAGCAGTGGAAAGCCAGAATTTTATAGAGCTGGCAACCACATTTTTCTCTCTGAACCTAAAGGAGCAGATATTTACAACTGGTGAATCCTATTGGTTGGGCAGGGGTAAGAATTGAGGACATCTTTATTTTAATTTACATTCATTTAATATGTTGTCTCTCTTCAATTTTGTTTTGTTAAGGTTAGACATAAATGCTTATATAAAATGTGACATTTAATTGTGTTTTACATTTAAACTTTGGAAGAAGTATAAGTTAGACTGCTAATTAATTCTTGAACTACATCTCACTTCTATTTTCATGCAGCAACAGACTAATGCAAATTTCACATTGTTTGATTTGCTTTTCCAGTGATTTGTCATATAAGTGGGAAGCTGTGTCAGCTCAACAAACGAAAGCGAAATTTGATTTTAAACATGTTCACTTGTGCAGAGGCCAATTGTATGGAAAGATTACGATAAATCCTTTCAGTGCCAGCTTTAAACTGAAGTGAAAAGCTGAATATCTCTCACAGCAAGTATGCAATTCCACACTGCAAAGAACATCTGTGTCAGATTCTCCTTATGTAGCAATAGGAAATACGTACTTTTGGGCACTGCTACTTTCAGTAAGCCACAGAATCCCACTGCAACCATTGGGAGTTGTAATAATGATTTTTAAAAAACAAAATAACTTTCTCAAGCAATTTTCTTATGGGAAATAAATCTACTGGAAATGACCATTCTTTCTCCATCTTCTTTCCTATGTGTGAAGTAAACCTTACTTCCTTCACAATCCCCCTTTTCCTGACCAGTGTTTTGGAAGAAGTATGAGGATGTGGGAGCAGATACCATATTTTTCTTTCCTTTTATTTTTAGTTTGGCTTATTATTGCAAGTATTATAATGACTGATAGACCAGGACAACTTCTTCAGCTTTGTTTTTAAACTTACTGTTAAGACTCCTGTCTGTGTTGGGAAGACAAATGGATGAAACAAGTATCTTAATAACTTTGCTGGAAACGAGCATTGTCTCAGTTGTGTGGGAATTAATGATGGAGCCCTGTACAAAATAGTTTAAGAGCTGATGAAGAATATATCACATGATTCTTCCAATGACTGTATTTCTTAATTTTGTTCCAATAAACAAGGTCTAATCTTAAAGAGCACTTTCTCTGTCCCATACTTGACAAAGCACCTTTGGAACTTGTGTTGGTGGGACAAAGCAAGTCATACTGCCTTCAAGATTGAGAAACAGCTCAAGAATGAGGAAGGGCAATTACTTACAGCTTTAGCAATTTAGGAGCAATTTTTGCCCATTATCTGGTAGAGTTTTCCAGTGTAAAAGAACAGCAGCAGTTTCCTTCTTGACCAAGACCATTCTCACCCGCAAGTGGAGATGTATAACTTTTCTTATTTCAGTTTTGATACAGATCAGGGCAATGTCTTGAAGGCTTTCATGGCCAAAATCACATATAAACCTAATTTTCCAGTTTCCAACAGACCTCACAACCTCTGAGGATGCTTGCCACAGATGCAGGTGAAATGTCAGGAGATAATGCTTCTAGAACATAGCCATACAACCTGAAAAACCTACAACAACCCAGATCTGAACAGTTACAATAATGTTTCTTCACATCTGAAATTCCTCATTTTCACATTTTCAGCTTATTTTAAACAATGTATGATTGCATAAACACCTTGTTCAAAAAACACAACATTTTTGCATAGAAAACAGTGTACTTTGCACAAAATTCAGTACATGTGTGTGCGAATGAATTTTTGCTAAAGCAACAACAATTATCACAATGGCTGCTCATTTTTGCTCTATGCTGAGACATTACTCAGTAAATTTGTGAGTAATTCCTAGTTGCAAAACTTCTAAGGCAGTAAACATATGTTGCATATTGTTTCAGATGCTTTGCAGGTTCTGATTACTCACAAATTAAGCTTATGTATGTGTCATGTTTGTAACAGACCTGAGGATAGTTGCTTGTACTTCAAGGCATTCTCAGATGCACAAATATTCCCTAACGTAAATGCATTAAGCCCTTTCAATTCATTATTTTATGCAATGACTTGGTTTAGTTGTTATATTGTTAAAATTGATTTGCACACCCCTACTGTTCTACTTTTTTATGGGCATTAGGGCAGGCTTTTATCAACCTTGCAGATATATTTCTGCCTTGAAGTAATGTGCTGCAACTCAGGTAGTCAGCAAATTATATTACAAAGAGTTACAATAGATTAAGTAACAGGTTAATGCAAATAACTGCTGTTATCTTTTGAACCATTGCAATGAAAAGCCAAGTGTTTTGCTATGATTGAGCTCAAAACACATCTCAAATATGCTTGTAATTCTTACGGGGAAGCTAATCATATCCCTAAAATTCATTTGAACTTCTCTGTTGAATTCTCAGTAGTAAAAAGAATGCTAGTGAGTAGATCTTTCTATCCACTAAGGGGAAAATATTTTCCCTGTAGTATCTTTTCTAGTAAAGGCTCTGTTGGAAAGATAAACACCTGAAGTCATGAATATTAATACCTTGATCATACTAGATAAAATTGCAGAGGCCAATTCACTCTTGTGACCTGTTGCCTGAAAATAGTTCTAAGCCATGCTGTTATTGCCTCTAGCAAAATTCCTTTAGAGTCCAGGAGACCTCCAGTGACAAAGAACTATTGTAATATAGCACACATGACAGCTTTACCCTCTCCCTCTACTATTGCCAGTCGAAGAGGAATGACCATTCTGACTTTGCACTGCACTGGATATGAGCATTTGGAATTAAAGAGCTCTGAGTCAGTGTGTTCCCCAGAGCTCCATTTCGAAGAAGAAGCATACAGCATGACAGCAAACCATTTCATTTTCTCACAAGCTGGGCTCTGCACTAAAGATTCTAGAGACAGTAGGGGAACCCACATACAGAGATGTACTTCCCATAGTTGTGAATGCTTCATCAATTTTTAAAAACGGCTTCATGTTAAATCTATGTAGTAATTGGCATCACTTCTCAGAAAAAGTTCTCTTTGTTCCCACAACATATGGCTCTAATTTTTCACATGCTCTTTCAATCATTTCAGCTCTTTCAGAATGGCAATACTTAGGGGCAAGAATTATCCTGCGGGATGACCCAGCCAGTATGCCACTACTGATGCTGTTCCTACTCCTCCTGAAATCATCGCAACAGGCAAGCTGCAGGATGCCTTATGAGCCCAATGTAATATTTCTTATTTAAAATGAAAACTTGCTTTGCATACCCTCCTGTTAAACCTGGTTTGTGCTTCAGCTGAATGGGCACACAGATTGCTCTTTTCTCACAAGAGCGGAGAGGGAAAAATGGATTTGCTTCAACTTACTCATCACTTCTCACATGGCAGGAGATACTGATTGGCTAGACCACCCTTCTTTCTGTCCTGAGATGGACTATTCTCCTTCACAATTACAATATGCTATTTATACGTGTATTTCACTTTTCCTCCCTGCGAAAGAGCAGCTCACACTTCCTTCCTGTCAGAGAGCTAATGAAATATGTGCATGCACGCTCACATGCAGAGTTGATAACTTTCCCTATTTTGCCATCTAGAAGCCAAACAGAGACCCTAACCATCTTACCAAAAAGACAATTTGCATAAATGATTCCTTTGCAAGGGAAGTAGTTCTACAAACCTCTACAAGTAGCGCCCAGCAACAAGAAAGTTAAAAGAGACAATCAGATAAATAATGCACAGGTTTTATTAATTTTTTTTTAGATTTTAGCCCACTTGCATCTGGTGAATTAGGATGCAATTCACAAAATGCCAAACAAAACTTGGTAGTCTTTTGACATGTCACAAAACAAATCTTACCTAGGAGTAAAGAGCCATAGAGATGTCAGTGGGTCTTCTTAATTCCTTGTAAGTGTGCCTCTAGCTGCCATATCAAACCTACCAAGGCATAATAAACCCCATAGAATTCAGTTGAGCTTTCATTTTGAGGAGAGACAGCATGGAATGGATTTGGTGCTTTCATTCATCCTAATGGTACTTTAATTCGTCCATTCCTCGATTTGGCTCCTTGTTCTCACACATGTCTCATCTTCCACCCATTCTCAATGTTACCTATTGTTCTGACTTATTCTATTCTCATGACACCTCTTTTTCTTTCCTATAGACTTCTAAACAGGCAAAGATCCTTCACACCAGATTTTCATTTTTTCTCTCCCCCTCCCCCACCCCAATTCATTAACTCAAGCTGGAGTTTGGGAATGTCTATGTGGGAGAGGGAGAAAAGTGGAGAAATGTAAGGTAGAAGAATGAACATGAAGGTTTACTTTTCTTCCATGTAATGGACTATGCATGTGCCCATCCTCTGTGCTAAAAAGGAAATATTTTGGCCAGAGGAATGAGAGGAGATTTTGTTAATGATGCCAGAACATCAACAGTATGGGAGGAGATCAAGATCAGTGACATACATAGCAGAGTAAAGCAAGCATGCCATCCTCCAGAATTATTTCAGTCAAATCACATTTAAATTATCACCTTTATCCTACTTAGAAAAAAGGATCCTACATGATAGAACTACATTTCCTACTCCTCAGAATGCATCTTCCAAGCTCTGGAGAGCATTTACATGACCATTTCATGACTGGGAGAGGCCGAGAGAGTTCTAAGGCAGCAAGAAATACTGTAAGTCTGCCAGTTCACCAGTGATTACAAATATCAAATACTTCCTTTTGCAATGTTCAGAGATGGACATAGGCAAATGTGTCTTGCATCAACCTTAAAAAAAGTGCTTGACTCAAAGATTTTAAAACAAATGATGAATTATGGCAGTGACCTAGTGTCTTTCCCTTTCAACTTCAAGTCACCATGTTACACAATGTAACATTTGTTACTTCAGCCACAGTTCAACAACAAACAATCTAGGCCAATAAGCGCCCAAGTTATCTGTTGTTCTCCTTCCATATGACTTTCCTCCCATTTTATATATTAACTGAACATTGTGAAATCCAGTCACAGTAAAGAAGCATCCGCGCTGCTCAGGAAAGATATGTAATTGAGACAGAATTTGGAATAAAAGTACAATGCATGATGTACTACTTGTCCCAATCCAGTCTTTGGGCATAAAAAAAATCAATGTGTCTCTGTGTCATAAAGTCTGCAATTGGTCCTTGGTGAGTATCACATGGGAAGAAACCCTTCCTGATGTCTTCTGATGATCAGTTCTTGAATCTTGAGATTAAAGCATGTTGATGTCTAGAGACATACAGTAGTCTCTGAATCACAGAAGTTGCCTTTATTTATCTCAGTCTTTTCACCTCTTACTGTGGATAAATAAGATTTGAATATGTAAAAGTGAAACATTTTACCTAATTCTGAGGTTTAAAATGCTGTGTAAGCACTTTGATTATGTAGGTGCAATCTGTGAAAAAAGAAAAACTTCCCCTCACTGAGACCAATTATGACTTATCACAGATGCAGTCAAATGTGATTCCAAGGCTATATGAAGCCCAACAGTTTTTGTGGTCCTCAGGTCCCCATGTCCCCTGAGAAACAAGAATTTGAGTAATCTGGTCAGAGTCGGCCATTCACAATTCAAGGAATGCTATGAAGCAGGGAAACATAAGAGCAGAGGATACAGATTTGAGACTTATTTGTAAACAATAGTGAGTAAGCGTAGTCACTGATAAGTGTAAACCTGAATCGAATTTGGGAAGCTGGGAATGTGAGAAGAGTTTTGGGATTTCATATTTAACTTAT